TTTTATTAAAATATGATTGACAGAATACAGATAATTCTCCCGCACCAGATAATATTTTGTCAGTTACAATTTTGATAAACAAGTTTGATTTAAAAATTGTTCTATTTTACTTTCTAATAAGCAGTAACCACTTTACTTCTCATTAAATAGTTTTTTGTTTTCATAGTTCTATATTATAGACATAATGACTTTGCAAAAGTTATATTGAGAGGCAGAGGTAGGCAGATTTCTAAGTTTGAGGCCAAACTGGTCTGCAAAGCAAGTTCCAGCACAGCAAGAACTACACAGGAGAATAAAAAAAGAAAAACAAAAAACTGTTACAGTAGTTATAATTAAATTTTACTTTGTGTTCCATATTAAAAGTCTAGGATCCACATGGATATGTTAAATATAAAATCCATACATTTCTGTTAAGCCATTCTCTTTATAGACTAGTATGAGAATCTTGTTGAACGCCATCCATATTTGTTTTTAGATACTGGTCGGATCTAGCCTTGGTGGATGGCTCATGCTGCATGCTGCAATTGCAAGGCCTGAAAAGGTCGTAGCTCTTATTGGTATAGCTACTGCTGCAGATGCCCTGGTGACACAGTTCCATGCACTTCCTGTTGAGGTAAGTCATGAGCCGTTTGGCAACCCCAGTGACTGCCTTCTAACATTCTTCTGCCTTTTCTCTCTGGGCATATGCACCGGCTGCGTCTGTCTTACTATAGTGACCCATCTTTTGTCTTTGCTGCTCTTTTGTGCAGTCTCTTGTCTAAGGTTTCCTTTTCTCATGGCTCCTTGTAAACATTCTGTCAAATACGTAAGCCACGTCAGTGAAGTCATGCTGCATACTTTCTATTTTAGCTTTATTTTTTTTATTCCATTTACCTAACAAACAAAAAAGATTCTAGCTCCCTATTAACAAGTCAGGTGTTCTCATAAACATCTACAGGCCCAGTTCGAAGAGGAAGATCATTAAGAATTGCTAGTCTGAGAAAGCATGAGCATCAAGTTCAGAGGTTAGACATAGCTGCAAAAGGACTAAAAGTGGAGAATGACAGAAGACACCCCTGCCCCTCTCCTGACCTTCATGTGCATGCGCACTGGTACATACGGCAGACAGGCATATACATAAGCAACACACACAGTGCTTTTTTTTTTTTTAAGTAAACCAGCAATGAACAGTGTTCCTGAGGAATGTCACCTGAGGTTCTGCACGCTTGCATATAAACTTACCTCATGGGAGTCCTGATAGTTTCTGTCAGAGCTAAAGTACAGCATTGGTCTTCCCTGTACTTGTCTCTGATGTCTGGATTTTTTTCACTCTTTTTTTTTTCTCATTGCTTGAGTTTTTCCTACTGTTTCTTCTTTGTGAATCTGAAACTGACCCATTGCTTCATGCTCTTTGTTGCCAGTCTTTCTCTGTCTGACCAGCCAGCTCCTAAATAAATGACATGGAGACTTCTTATTAATTATGAAAGCTCAGCAGCCAGCTTTGGCTTTTTTCTAAATAGTTCTTATAATTTCATTTATTCATTTCTATTCATCTGTGTTTTGCCATATGACTTGTGGCTTTTACCTCTTTTCTTGAATGTCTGTTCCTTCTGCCTTCATAGGTGACTCTGCCTTCTTCTCAGAGTTGTTGCTGCTCCGGAAATCCTGCCTGGTTATTGGCCGTTTAGCTTTGTGTTAAACAAATCAGAGTAACATTTCTGTACAGAAAGATTATTCCACAACACCTTTTGACCCACCAATGCAGTGCAATGCTTTTCATGATAGGAAATTTTCTTGAGGGTATTAATAGCTTGAAAAGGAGTTCCTTAAACACCTTTGCTTGTTTGTTTGTTTTGACTTATTATAAATTACAAGATCTATGCACATTCTTTGCACATATATGTAACTAGATTGTTCAGCATGTGGATAAGGTAGAAATTAAAAATCAATTGTTAGATGTGGGGTTAGTATTGCTGAGATAAAACTCCATGACCAAAAACAACTTAGGGAGGAAAGAAAGGGTTTATCTCATCTTACAACTCGCAGGTCACACCCTGTCACTGGGGAAAAGTCAGGACAGGACCTGAAAGCAGGAACTGAAGCAAAAGCCACAGAGACATGCTTCTTCCTTGCTTGCTCCTGGGGTGCTCATCATGCTTCCTTCACAGTTCAGGACCTTCTGCTTAGGTTTGTCACCAGCTACAGTGAGTTGATCATCAGTTATTGACCAGTAAAAGGCCCTATAGACTTGCCTGTAGGCCAGTAGTAGGGAAGCATTTTCTCAGTTGACAGACCCTCTTCCCAAATGACTAGCTTTTGTCAAGCTGTTGCAAAATTGAACAGCACAGAGGAAAGTACAGGGACACTGAGAACACTGCCTCCCCATTCATCACTAGCCCTAAGGTGTCAAGAGAGCCAGAGTGGGAAGCTTTGCCAACTTTCCAAAGCTTAGGGCTATTATGTGCAGAGTTTCTCATTATTATCTAGAAAGAACTGTCTGTCATCACTGTCTTCTTCATGCTTTAGAGGATCTCAAAGTTCATCGGCATTTGGAATCTAAGCAGCTAAAAACCATATTGCCTTAGTAAAGTTTCTTCTTATAGTACAACTCATGCATGTATCCTATATAGTTTCTCTTATAGCACAAATTCTAATTGGTATTAATAATAAAAGCCCCGAGTTAGATACAGGGGTTAATGCTGAAGATCAGAGAAGTAAAGCGGCCAGCCCCTAGAAAGTTCTCACCCCTACCAATGCTCAGACCAAAGGAGAGAATACTGACCTCAGACTGAGCTGCTCCTCAGACTGCCTATACTGCATTGAGCTCCTGTCTCCTGCCTTATAGTCCTCTCTCCACCCAGCCATATCACTCCTCTGTCCACTTCCCTAGTTCTGGGATTAAAGACATGTGATTCCAAGTCCTGGGATTATCATTGTGTGAGCTCTGTTTCTCTTTTAGACAGGACCAGTTTTGTGTAGCCCAGGGTGGCCTTGAACTAACAGATCTGTCTGTCCTCTGAGTCCTGGGAGTAAAGGTGTGTGCCACCACTAACTGGCCTCTACTGGCTTAGCTCTGCTCTCTGATCTTCAGGCAAGCTTTATTTGTTAAAAACAAACAAAATATCACTATATTCTCTGGGTAATGCTATCTTACTTATTGTAAAACTTTTTTAGAGTTTAGTTGGAAAAAAACTTTGTTCTTCAAATGAACTATATACCTTCAGTTTGAGGCCAGATAACAAGTGGGGATCAGGGATGCTTAAAATGAAACTTAACTAATTGAGTATGCTCATAATTAGCATAGGTGGAGCAAAGTTTTCATTACTGGAGTACGGTACAGTGTTGCTTGAGAACAACTGGTGTGGGAAGTTGTTCTGTGTATGCGTTGCTTTCATTGGATAATGAATAAAGCTGTTTTGGCCTGTGACTTACCAGAATAGAGCTGTGTGGGAAAACCAAACTCACTACTGGGAGAAAGAAGGTGGAGTCATTGGACGCCACCATGTAGGCACTGCCACAAAAGACAGAACAGCAACGTGGCGATACACAGATTAATAGAAATGAGCTAACTTAAGATCTGAGTTAGCCAGAAATACGCTTAAGCTATTAGCCAAACTATGCAAATAATATAGTTTCTGAGTGGACTGGCCTGCTAGGAATAAACAAGTTGCCTCCATATAAAGAAACCTGTCATTTTTGCTTTAAAAGCTTGTTTTGGATTTGTGAGACTAATGTGGATTCATATATTTTTCAGATTTACAAAATTTTATCAATTTTTTTTCAATACTGTGGAAATAGAAATTTATAAGCATTTAAAATCTTTTTTGGAAGTTTAAAAAGCATACATTTACTAAATAAGTAAAAAGCATAGAAAACTATGTAAATATATAATTGATAATATGTTTTACATGTTATAAACTTTAAAAAAACAGTTGGAAAACTATTGAAAGAAAGTAAGTCAGAATAATAATGATATAGCCCTAAGGTGGGATTATAATGATTTTTAATGTACTTTTATGTGTTTTCTATTTTGCATAGAAAATTCCAAATTTTGAAAAATTTTATTTTGAACTGTGTGTGTGCCGGTACATATGTGTGCAGGTATGTGCAGTTAGTGTGGTGCCCATGAAGGCCTAAAGAGGATGTCAGATCCCTTGGAGCTGGAGGTGCAGACCATGAGGTGCCCATTGTGGGTTCAGAGAACTGAGCTGGGTCTTATGCAAGATCTGGAAGCATTTTTAACTGCTGAGCCATCCCTTCAGCCCGAAAATTCCAATTTTTAATTAGAAAAATTATTGAACACAAATAATATAAAAATACTCAAATAATATGTTAATGTTTCATTTTATCAGACTCTATAGAAGTATTATTGTTCAGTTTTCAGGAGCATTTCTAAGGTTCTTTCTGTGTTATCCAAAAACCAGTAAATTCTCATCCCTAGAATGTCGACAGATAGAAGCTATGCAGTTTAAAAACTTTCTTTCAACCTAAATTACGTGAGTAATTGTTTTGAAATTTCAAAAACAATTACTCTAAGATTTACTTTGTATAAACATCACTGTCTTGGGACCAATATCCAGAAATTGCTGTACTTTTCTCCCCTTCCAGCTTCCCTTTCAAGTTGGGGTAAAGTAGACCTTGATATAAGAACTTGTATGGGGGGCTGGAGAGATGGCTCAGTGGTTAAGAGCACTGGCTGCTCTTCCAGAGGTCCTGAGTTCAATTCCCAGCAACCACATGGTGGCTCACAACCATCTGTAATGAGATCTGTCGCCCTCTGAAGGCATACATGGAGGCAGAATGTTGTATACATAATAAATAAATAAATCTTTAAAAAAAAAAAAACTTGTATGGTAGGGAAATCTGAGTTTGAGTTTGATTGCTGGCTCAAACAGTTCTGTCTTTGGACATTGAATATGACATTTAACTGTAAGTCTTATTTCTTTTATAAAAGTAGAGTAATTATGTGCCTTGCATGCTGTAATTAATTTTTGTTTTCTTTTGATGGGGTCTCTCTATGTTACTCTGGTTGGCCTAGAACATGAACTTTGTAGAACAGACTGGCCTCAAACTGACAGATCTACCTGCCTCTGCCTGGTCCTGAGTTTAAAAGCGTGTGTCCCACCTGGCCCAATGTTTGATGATCACTCTTGTTGCTCCTGTGTTGCCTCTGCTCTTTCGCTTAAGGACTGCCTTTCTCAGACTCTTCAAGTTTGCTACTGGCATTATTTATATTCATGTTTCTATTTTTCCTCCTAGGCGCAAAAGGAAATAGAAGTGAAAGGGGAATGGACCTTACCATCTAAATATAATGAAGAAGGATTTTACCATGTTCCATACAGTTTCATTAAAGAAGCGGAACACCATTGCTTGTTACATAGCCCCATTCCTGTGACCTGCCCAGTGCGCTTGCTCCATGGCATGAAGGACAACATAATACCTTGGCACATGTCTCTGCAGGTCGCTGACCGAATTGTCAGCCCAGATGTAGACGTCATCCTTCGGAAAAACAGTGACCACAGGATGAAGGAAAAAGCAGATATTCACTTGCTTGTTTGCACTATTGATGACTTGATTGACAAGCTGTCAACTGTAGTTCACTAGAATCACACTTGTGATTGCTATGCACTCTAATTCTCCCAGAAGATTGGAAGAATGATAGTAAATCAAAGACCCAGATACATTAGGGTTTATGTCTTTTATTTTGTAAATAAGTATTTATTTAATGATGTCTTTGCACAACTACACAAATTGTGACAAAAGTATTAGCTGCTGTTTGGAAATTTTTTTCCTTCCTTTTATCGTTGATACTTTTCCCATTAAAATAGTACCTATTTTTTTTATTCAAGAGCTACTTACCTTTCTTATGCATACTTTAGTGGTGCCAGCACTGTGTTCCCTTCTACTACAATAAAGCTTGAATACTTTGATTTTTGTTTGGTACCATTACATATGGATGTTTGTAAAATTCTGATTTTAAAATGCAACTCACAAAATAGAGGAAGATGTGGTGTAGGAGGTTCTTCTGTCTATGTGTTGCTTTCTTTGGTTGAATAAAGAAACTGCATTGGCCCTTTGATGGGGCAGCACTTAGGTAGGCAGAGTAAACAGAACTGAATGCTGGGAAGGAGAGAGTGAGAGAGAGCCGCCATGGAGATGCCCGGTCAGACATGCTGAATCTTTCCCGGTAAGCCACCCTCGTGGTGACATACAGATTATTAGAAATGGATTGAATCAAGATGTGAGAGTTAGCCAATAAGACGTTAGAGCTAGTGGGCCAGGCAGTGATTTAATTAATACAATTTCTGTGTGATTATTTTGAGTGTAAGCTAGCTGGATGGCCGGGACAAAAAGCAGGCCCTCTCTCCCACAACAAAGATGTTTATTGCAATAAATTTTAAATGATTCTAAAATGTCTGAAACATAATATAGTTGGAAAAATGAGGATACCATGCTATATTTGAAACTAAAATTACTATTTAATTTTTTAAGGTTAACTTAAGATTGTAAAAGATATTCTTGAATTTTGAATTCTCATTTTTATGGGAGTCGTCCAGTTTTTGACATTTTTCTAGTTTACATTGTAAAAGAATGGGTATTATAATTTCTGACACATCTGCCATGTCATTGTTCCTCACTCATACACATCCCACATCCCACGGCTCTGCCTTGTCTCATTCTCTCTGCTTTTCTCCAGGCCTTTCCTCTCCTCAGGCTCCTGACCTGAAATCATGTCTCTGTGTGAGAGACAACATAAGAGAGTTCTCTTTCCCTCTCCCATTACCCTTTCGTGTTCCCCTTCCCCCCTTAGACCCTTCTCTATACCAGCCATCTCATATGTGTATTTAAATCTACATTCCACATATGAGAAAAAACACACTTGCATACCTCACTTTACAGAACCTCATTTCTACCCATTTCACTTTACAGAACCTCATTTCTACCCATTTTTCTGCAAACATGCCTTCTATTTAAATGATATTCATCTAATGATGCATTTATTTTTATGGAATGGTTGGTAAGACTGAAGAGAAAAAAATGATCTTTTTGTATTAGTCCTGTTTTCAAGAATACTTTCTACCAGTCTGCCTTAAGTGTAAAGCCATGTGATTACCTGAGTTAGAAGTGACAGAAGTGTGATCAGTAAAGCAACAAAAAATGCTAGTTTAAAGCATGCTTTTCAATAGCCACTGAGACACTGATATTGATATATATTGGTCTTTATATTAAGTTGTTTTTTAGTTACTAATTTTGGCTAGACTTTAGTCTTCATGAGTTATGTCTAAGTTATTAAGTTGAACACATGATTCATTAAGTGAGTATATGTCAAAGACTTATAAACGAGTGAGAGTCAGCAGATGGTAAACCTGGTTCAAAGGACAGTTTAAGAAATGGGTATTTATAGCCATTAGAAAAGGTTGCTAAAATTCCTGTGCAGGAAAGTGGTAGAGCTGGTGGGCAGATCATCCTGAGAAACATATTTATGAGTTGGCTGTTAGCTGTCTGGGAACTAGGGTTTCAGGGACTCCCACTATGGCCAGCACTGATCACAGTAGCTCTCTGTGCTTGCATTAACTCTGTAAACACTGGTTTGTGCTGAACCCTGCTTTCTTCTTAGGTGCCCAGGATATTGGTATATATGGAGTGGGGACTACCTCTGAGTCGTTTCATAAAAGCCATTGGCACTGACTATTAACAAGCTTCCTTGTGGACAACATCACATGAGCTGTCACAGCTCTTTGCTGGAGACCCAGTTTCAGCCTGAGTGACTCCAGTATGGATTCTTGGAAGCTCTCCCCCAGTTTCCCTGGACTTCACCCCATGCGCCTTTTTCCTTTGCTCACTCTGTTTTGGATCCTTTCGTTCAAATCAGTGGTGAAAGGAGCTGTATGGTGAGTTCTGTGCATTCTAGCAAGTCTGCATACCTGGGGTGGTCTCAGGAACCTCTGATACACATGCAATTGAGCTCAGCCATGATTATCTCTTCTCTCAGAGAAAAATCATAAAACAACAAAACATGAATCCTGTGAGCCTTGTTTCCTTGAGCTAAGGTGAGGCCATTTGGGGGCACCTTTGGCTAGACATTGCTAGGCATGAAGAGTATTGGAAAACGAAGAGGACCTAGTCCCTGCCCATTGGAGTTCTTTAGGGTTAAGCAAAATGTAATGAAGTGGCAGAATCAGCATGTGTCAATGCAGCAATAAAATCCAAACTAAGATCAGCTGCATCCCAGCACATGGACCAAATCTGTAATAGCAGATTTCCCTTGAGCTTCATTTGTCTCATCTGCAAAATGGTATAAACCTAGATAGTAGATAGAAGTAGTAAAGATACGTGATGTGTTTAGAACAGTGATGTCCAGGAGGTGCGATATTCCTGATTTTGTCTTTTGCACGGAACATGGTCCAGCGAGGAACTGATGGACATCAACCCATAATGCTATGAGAAGAAAAGAGCTAAGCAAGGAAGCCAAAGGATATTTCCTAACAGAAAGATTCTAAATTGGCTTATTTTTGTCATGTATGTTCAAATAATCAATGACTTACCTCCCCTAATTTGTTTTTACAGAAGGAAAACCTCTTAGAATTTAGTTTGGTAGGAGTTGGCATAACAGAATTCAAATGAGATTAACTTGATATTTTTACCATCAAATGAAGCTTCCAGTGTGCCCAGTACCAGAAATAGGATACAACTAAAGGAATTGTTGGTCAAAGGAGCCCCATGGAAATCCCGAGACAACTCAGGCTATTGCCAACGCTATACCACAACTCATGGTAAAGCCCCATTGCTGATGTCAACACCTACATAGTTCATTGAACATGGAGAAGTTAAACTGGCTCCTACCTGGAGCCTTCATCTCTACTGACTTGTTTTTGTGGTACTAGAGGCTGCGTTGCACACTACCAAAAAAGGTAAACCATCAGCCCAGCTACAAACCCTGTAAATTATAACAGTGACCTACCTACGCAATACACCGGGACAATAGTGGCACAAATGTGGGAGTAACCAACTACTCTGATTGGATGTAAGGCCTATTCCAAGAGATAGAAGCCATGACTAACACTGCTCAAGTGACCAAGAACCTGAGACTACAAAGACCATGTGTCTATTATTCTGCTAAAGAAACATAGCAACAAAATGACTCCTAATGACATTCTGCTAGTCCCATTGGTAAGTACTCAGTCATTAGCCAAGAAGCTTCCACTTCCAGTAGAGAAGAACTATTAAAGAGACTCACAACTTCACAATGTACAGAGAATAAAAGATTTTAGAACACTTAGTCCTAAAATGGGTGTTTTCATCAGACCCCTCCCTTCAGAACTTGGGCAATTATTTGGAAGAGGAGGCAGAAAGATTGTAAGAGTCAGAGGGAATAAATGACACCAAGGAGACAGTGTCTTGTAGACACAGTAGGATTGACTTATATAACAACTTAGAAAGCATGGTAGTATGCACAGGGTCTCAGCACTGGGTGGGTGGGAGCGGAAGTGGACATGAGCTCTCATCCCTAACCAAGAAGCTGTCTTCAATTGATAACTGATTGCAAAGGAAAAATCCATTTTCTCCAATGGAATCTCACTGGGTTTGTAAACCACACTTCGGTATAGGTTCCATGCCCAGCATAGATGGCCAACACAAACCAATCTCAATGATAATTTTGTAGATTTTTTTCCCTATTATTTTGTTTGCCATTTTCTTTATCTTGCTGGGCTTTTGATTGTCTATTGTGGTTTCCAATTTTGTATTTTTCTGACTTTATTTTGTGTCTGTGTTTGATGTGTGTGTTTCTTATGCTTTTTCTTTATTTTTGTTCATTATTTTGGATTTTTTTTAATTTGCCTGTTTTCCAAAGAAAGAGTGAGAGAAGGGAAGTATGGAATTAGATGTGGATCTAGGAGGCGATGGGGAGGAGAAACTGTGATCAGAATATACCGTATGAAAAAAATTTTTCAATAAAAAATTAATAGGGTTCAGTGTGTTGTAGCCCATTATTGACTCTCTCTCTCTCTCTCTCTCTCTCTCTCTCTCTCTCTCTCTCTCTATCTGTCTCTATCTGTGTGTGTGTGTGTGTGTTATACTCAGGCCATTTTTTCTGTGCTGTGTATTCAATGGCATGTGAAATGTATGAACACACAGCAGGTCTATGTGCCTTATCTTGAATTTCAGTGTGATTTTCTAAGTGGCATGCACCTCCTAAACAATTTGAACACGGACAATGGGAATGGATATGGCAAATTACCAAGAACAGGAATGCTAATCAAAGATGTATGCCTTTGAAATATTTCCTGATGCAAATCTATACAGTATGCAAGTCTCTAAGCAGCCAGTGAAAGGTCTGGGGAAGAAAGCGCCCTGAGCAAGGCTGAGTTTGTAAGCATGGTGCTAGAGCTGGAAAGGCATTACCGTTCCTAGGACGGTCCCTGGAGTGAGGACGCCAGACGGATTTGGGAGAGCTGAAAAAGAGCACTGAGTGGTGTTGCGAGTTAGTTCGGTGTGATAAATAGCCAGACTAGCTAAAGAATAGCAGTTATATTTTAATAGTTGAAAAGGGGGAATTCACGCTACAAGAGTGGGAGGCACGAAATCCAAAATGGTCCTGTGAGCACCGGAGCGCGCATGCCTGTGTCCTACCAGTTTTGTTACCTGGGTTACTGGTAGCCACACCCTAACTGAATGTGATTGATTGATAATTTCCCCACCATCGTGGTTGTGTACAGGCCACTTGAGAGGCAGAAGCAGGTGAATCTCTGACTTCAAGACTAGCCAGATCTGCCAATGAGCGCTGACTGAGAAGACCATGGCACTGGGTTTTGATTCTACTGCATGGACTGACTTTGTGGGAGCCTGGTTTGTTTGGATGCTCACCTTTATAGACCTGGATGGAGGGGGGAGGACCTTGGACATCCCACGGGGCAGGGAACCCTGACTG